ACTCAGATCGTTAGGATCGAGTCAGTTAGAAATACCAAGGGTTCTCACAAAACAAGGGGAGTCCGCTTTTAGCTATTTTGCCGCCCGCAGTTGGAATCAGCTTCCAGAAGAGATCAGATGTGCTAAAACATTAGTCACATTTAAATCTAGACTCAAAACTCATCTGTTTAGCTGTGCATTTATTGAATGAGCACTGTGCGATGTCCGAACTGATTGCACTGTATTTTATGCATGTATAATAATTTTCTTCAATTCATTTTAAATCAATTTTTAAATCATTTTCAAAGTTTTTAAATTCCTTGGTTTTTTTTAATGATTATTTTACTTTCTTTTATGTAAGGCACTTTGAATTACCATTGTGTACGAAATGTGCTATATAAATAAACTTGCCTTGCCTATTATAAACATGCATAAAATATTATTTGAAAAATATATAGCCTATATTATCTTGCAATTATTGTTTTGTTTTTTTCAACTCTCTATAGTACTGTGCTGTTAGATGTATTATTTGTCTATTTAAATCAGTTCCTTGAATCAATTTATTCTGAAAATAATCATCATTATAAATGTATATTATTTGAATATTTATCTTCTATTATCTTACAATTATGTTTTTCCCCAACTCACTATAGTACTGCGCTGTTAGATGAATCATTTATTTAAATCAATTTTTAAAAACAATTTATTCAGTAAATAATTATTATTTAAATACATTTTGTAATTGATTTGTACTGTGAAAAATTAATATAAAAAATTAAATGAACAGATAATACATTTAACAGCACAGTACTATAGTGAATGAAAAAAAAGCATAATAGAAAGTAAATGTTTCCCAAGTAATATTTTAAAAAAAAATTTTTCATATTTTATTCTAAATTACTAATGAAAATGCTTGTTGACAAAGGGTTTTGATGAGTAGCAAATATCCAGGTGAAAGTTAAATGTGCTCCTCATGTGTGAATATGCTGTTGCCATGATAACATAATACTACACATGATATTCTAAACAGCCTCTGGAACAGAAAACAGTAGGTTTTTAAAGTCAATATATTGATTATATGCTATTTAGGAGCTATCCGTTTGAGGTTCAATAGAACATGAGTTCATACCCAGTGTCCTAGAT